GCTTGGAAAACACGTGCCTTCTGTACTACAGAATCTTAGCAAATGTGAATCCTCATTCCGGGTACCCTCAGGCACCCCGAGAACCATGAATCAGGGCATCCAGGTGGAGTCATCACTGCCCTAGAGCTTCACCTCTTTGGGGGCCCACCTTCCCCCACTGTCCCCAGGGCTGGCCTCTCTGGCTGCCGTGTTTACAGTCTCACCCCCTGGCAGCTCAGAAAGCAACTGATTGGGGCATATTGGCCAGAGTTAGCAATTGGTGTGAGGGTGGGGAGGAGACCCCACAAAGGCAGAAGGTCTGAAGTGAGGGTCCCACGGGCCCCCTGGCCAAGCCCCCAGCAGGGTAGCAGCTACCTACTACAGAGGGCAGAGCCTCGGGGAGCTCCTTGTGGGGGGAGGTAGTGGGAGGAAAATCTCTGGCTTTCCTGGACAGATGAGATACTTCAGTTATCTGGAAATACCACTTTAAAAGAATTCCTTAATCTCCACAAGAAGTGTTTCTATTGTGCAAACATTTCAGGGTCAGAATTAACTGTGGTTCCAGCACCGGGCAGAGGGACAGTGATTTATCACCTACCTCTCCCAGGCCTTCCCACAGGCCCTGAGCCACCAAGCTGCCCATTCCTTTACCCGGCCCCACCCCTCCTGCTCTGTGAGCCTGGGTGTGGGCCGCTAGCAGAGGACCCCTCAAGTATAATGGGTGCAACAGCAGATTATGAACTACATTCCTCACCTACAGATCGCCACGCTGGCCAGATCTCACAGGACTTCTATAAGAACGCAAAGCAAGCCTACTAGGAGGTGGCAGCCAGGGAGCTCAGAGGACTACGCAGGCTGCAGTGGGACCCGACAATGAGGACAGCAAATGGAACCAGACGGACTTGCATTCTGTGCTTGATTTCTCTGGCTCGAGTGTCTAAAGCACCGTAGTGAATCCTTTTGCTTGTCTGCAGGCCTGTTCCCCTGGTGAATGCCAACCTGACTGAGTGTGGCATTTGCTGCTGTTGATTCCTGGTCCTCCCAGGCTGGAAGGTCACTCCCAGGCAGGGCCCACAACTACAGTCAACTCGGCAACAGGTAGAGGGTCTCAGTGGCATCTGATATTGGGCTAGTGCCTGAGGTACCTCTGCTGTCTCAGGACCGTGTGATCTGGCACCCTGGTTAGTAGCCTCTGGTGTGACCACCGCACACAGCCACCATGGAGACACCAAGCCCCGGCTGCTCTAGCCAGTTTCCTCGGCACATGTGAAAAAGGGCTCCCTGTCTTTTGTGTGTTTATTTTTATTTTTACCATCCAGAGCCAGCTTCAGAGGGCTCGGAAATGTTCCAGCCACATCTGGACCTGAAAACAAGAGCTGATTTTTGAGAGCCAGCTGCTCACTGCATTTGGACAGAATGAATAAGTATCCTTCATATTTTTTTGTATTTCTCTTTAACAGTTGCTTGACCCAACATCTTTCTGTCTGCTCTATACAATGAAAATACAAACTAAATGAGAATAGAAAAAAATAATTAAAGCATTAAATTGTACAAATTACAAATTTGTTCCAAAATAGACTTACATTAAATAAAATACGCATTTCAGTAAGAGACCTACAGTGAATGACTGCATTCTGGGAAGCTTCACATCTAGGCAGGGCCAACACTCATGGGAGAAGCTACCGAATCCGCACCCAATCACAGTTTGCAGCGGGGGTCTTCCTGCCAACCTGTGAGCTACAACGAGCACGTCATTAGCATCACGTGTGCAGGAACCGGCTTTGTTTGGGAAAAGGGTAAACAAGCTCTGGCCTCAATGCGAGTTCATTACAACCTCTCGGGACTCTCACCAGCCGCCTGCGCAGTACAGTTTCAAACGTAAACATGTTAAGGTAAGCAGACAACTCTTTAGAAGCCCAACCACATTTCCTTGCTGTATTTATGTTGGACTCTCCAGCTACAATGGCGGTCATGAAGATGGTCTTCTTCAGGACAGCATGGTCACAAGACGGGGACAATCCAGTGGGACTGAGAGGGAGCGTGAGGACTGGGGAGAGGAGGGGCTACCTCTTGCTGCTTCACGAGAGACAAACTATAACACACAGTCCACGGGCCCGCAGTCTTCTCCTGTTATCATCTGGCGTAACGCTTGATGTAGTCGTCCACTTTATTCCGGAAGTCCTCCTGCAGAGCCAGAGGATCAGGCAGAGGAGAGGGACAGGAAGAGTGAGTGAGTGTGAAGCAACACTAGGAGAAAGGACAGATCTGTAAGGCGTGGAGGAGCCTGGCCTATCGTCCTACGGTGGCTGAGTCTGAGTGCCACCCACTCTCCCCGATTCTGGTATCCACCATGAGCCAGACAGTGCTGGGTGTGCTGGGGTGGGGCCTGTAGAAGGTCTGAGGGGGAGGATTCTAACAGCATCCTGTTCATTTTCCTCGTTTTGCTAGTGGAGAAAGTGAAGCCCAGAGAAATGTAGTCAAGGTCACCGAGCCAAGACCCTCTTAACCACAATTAGGCATGAGCCATGACTATGACTTTCAGGAAGACCTGGTTTCTACATCTGCCTTCCCAGAATGTCTGCCCTGGACCTTGCTGCCCACTTAAAACAGGTCCTCTGCATGGCCATGTGCAGCCCACCTTGGCATGACATCCTCTGCAGGAAGCAGGTGTACTGCAGCTCCACCCTGACATCAAGGCCCCTAGATGGCCCCGGTGACAAAAGGCTGCTATAGGCAGGAAAGTCACTGCTCCAGGTCTGTCCCTAGGTCTGCTCTCCCTGAGGTTAGGAGCAAAGTCCCACAGGATTATACAAGCTGAAAATGACCCGGCATTCTTGGGCCTCCCACAGCACAACTGCTAGGCCCTGCTATCCCTATGGGGCCATGCTGCTCCGTCCCATCACTGCCAGTACCCACTGCACCACTGTCACAACTCTCAGCAGGACGGAGCCCCACTTCTGCAGCTAGGCTCTCAGGCCTGGACAATGGGCCTGTTGTAGGTTCCTGCCCTATTCTGCAGCACTGTCTGCAGCCTTCCCTCCAGAGAGCACACCCTGAGTTACCCCTCCACAGTGCAGCACTACCTTGCTGCCTTCCGCAGGAGAGCCCGCCCTGGATTACCCCTCCACAGCGCAGCACCACCCTGCTGCCCTCCTGCAGGAGAGCCCACCCTGGGTTATGACTCCACAGTGTAGCACTACCCTGCTGTACTCCACAGGAGAGCCCACCCTGGGTTATCTCTCCACAGCGCAGCACTGCCCTACTGCCCTCCTGCCCTCTTGCAGGAGAGCCCATGCTGGGTTACCCCTCCACAGTGCAGCACTGCCCTCCTGCTCTCCTGCAGGAGAGCCCACCCTGGATTACCCCTCCACAGTGCAGCACTACCCTGCTGTCCTCCGCAGGAGAGCCCACCCTGCTACCCTCCTGCAGGAGAGACCACCCTGGGTTACCCCATCCACAGCGCAGCATCACCCTGCTACCCTCCTGCAGGAGAGCCCACCCTGGGTTATCCCTCCACAGCACAGCACTACCCTGCTGTCCTCCGCAGGAGAGCCCACCCTGGGTTAACCCTCCACAGTGCAGCACCACCCTGCTGCCTCCGCAGGAGAGCCCACCCCAGGTTGCCCCTCCACAGCTTGTTGGTCTAAGCAACTAGGTGGTGCTTCTCTTGCCTCCCTGATGAGGGTGCCCCACCTACTCTCAGGGTGCTTAGAACTCTGCCAGAGCAATGTCAGCTGGGCATGTGAGAGGCACTGGCTGCTGGCCGGGGCAAGGTTGCGGCAGTGAACTTGGCCTTCCACCACCAAGCCCGGCGGGTCCCACAGCACTGGCCCTCTAGACTGATCAAGCTTGCCCCGAGTGCGGCTGACCACCTCAGGCCCGGAGCCACACACGGACGCTGCTTGTGGCACTCTGCCCAGGTACAAGGCCCTGTCAGTCAGATGCCCTAACCCGACAGCACTTCCCTCCCTCAAGGCTGGGAACAGCCCCACCTCAGACCTCAGAAACCTGATTCCTCGCTGCCTCGTACTCAAACCCGTCCACACTGGGTGATTCTGATTCTGCTGGCTTAGGTTGTTATACTTTCTCCTGCCTGGTAGGTTTTGATTATTTTGTTCTGAGGTGGTCTTCTTACACTTTACTGGGAGTACTCAGGGCCATCTGTAAGGAGGCGGGAGGAGGGCAGCCTAGAACAGACGGGGCTAATCTGACATGGTTCCCTGCCATGTGTGTGCAAACTGACTGACCAAAGGTCCATGTCCCTCTAAAATGCAAAGAAGATCGAACGTGCCATTCTGAGAACGGCTCTGAAGCAAGAACAAGTAATTCAAAGATGCAAACAGTTACTAGGTCATCAGAAAAGCCAGGGCATTTTTTCTTTTTATTCTAGGCAAAAATGCATCATGACTTTTCTGATGACCTAAGAACACACCTTTAGCTAAAGGTGTACACCTGGCCTCTCTAGAAGTCCAGTTCCCAGCGGCCCTCCCGGACACACCATGTAGTCTCGAAATGAAACAAAACAAAAACACAATTTGGTAAAAGCATAGGAAAACACAGAATACCTACTATGTAAAGTTAAAGACAGACACAATCTTTGCCCCAGTAGAATAAGTTCTGCAGCTCTCATCTATGGAAATAAAAGCACTAGTATTTAAAGAAATGTATTGTTTGTGGGGGGAAAAAAAAAAAAAAAAAAGAAAAAAAACCGCCAGGGAAAAAACCTAAGTGCCTCCCCCTCAAGAAGAAGAATACTAAAAAGTATGGCAGAGCTGCCGTATGGGATATAATACGGTTCCTAAAATGGACGAGACACTGTAATGCACCGACTTGGAGGGACAGGTGAAAAAAAGAAAGAATCAAAGATTAGGCTGGCCTGGTGCACAGAGTTAAGAGATCCAGCTAAGCATAGCCAACCAAGGTTTGAATCCTAGCTCTGGTGTCTTGAAAAACACGTCAGGCATGTGTGCATGGGTGCCCAAGGTCCTGACAGGAAGGAGAAACGGAGAAGCGACAGTGGTAAGCCGTGCCCCACTGGGGGCACTTTCCTTCTTTTTCTCTCTTTCTGCTGAGCGGGCACACCCTCTGACAATTAAAAAAAGAGAGAGAGAAATAAAAAAGTGGTATGTAGAACACCATTATTTTGGGTAAAATGAAAATCAAATGCCACTGCATATATATGAGCTCAGCAGAAAGTGGGACGAGCAGCCTGCTAGGGACCCGGGGGCGCTGGTACACTGGCCAGCCCCCTGCGACATTCCCACACTGTTAATTAGGTAAAGGAACAACTACCTGCTTTGAACTACCACAGTGACTACTACTAGGAAAGACCAGCCAGTAACCACTTTTCTTGGAGATGAACAACACTTGGGTCAAATGCTTTCCTGAGGTCACACACATTTGGTATGACACTTATTTATAAACTGCTTTAAATTCTAGTTGTGTCCCATCAACCTTACTTTCTAACTTATCCAGTTAAGAAATAGCTATAATTACCACACCAGACGCATCAGCCTAGAGAAGCCCATTCCTGGCTCACCTTGTCCCGCAAATGATGCTCTGCAGCTTCGATATTCAGTGGATCATCAAAATTCAGAAGATCCTTAAAAAGAGAGAAACTCAGGGTAAATCCCAGAAGAACCTGGGTTCTGCAGTTACCTGTCTCTGGGTCATGAAGCAGCCGCCGCAATCTGCTAGTAAGTGGTGGGCAGCGGGAGAGCTGGACACACCCCCCCAGCCCCTCTGCCGTGAGAGTACTGGATGTGAGACAGCGTCCAACATGGTGACTGGTGGGCACAGGAGAGAAGTCAGGGCTGTCTTATATGTAACTGTCCGAAGTACGGGGAAGATGGAGGAGACAGCTAGCACGTTAGTTTTTATCTGACTGTCACAGGGTACATGCATCACCAGAGAGAAAGAAAGAAAGAAAGAAAGAGAAAACTAAGAAATCCTCCCCTGGGGGATGGCCACACCAGCCAGTCCCTTCTCTTCCACTCTCCTCTCAGGATTTTGCACACATACATACATGCACCTGGCATGAACTTCAAGCCACTGGTTCTGGGACATGAACAGCTGGAATCCTGCCACCTTAATCTCTACGTCACCTGCTGGCCTTGACATTAATTTTTAATGTCATTTTTGATAACTGGAATATTTGAAAACCATCTCAAAATGGACATTTCCAAATAAAATCTCATTATTTTCATAAAGACTCATTTTTCTCTTTTTTTTTTGGTGACTAACAACTTCGCCTCTGTGAGTCTATGGTTTCCATTTTGACCTTCCTTGGATTTCCCCATGTCTCTGGACTCAGCTCATAAGCATCACTTAGAGCCCAGCTGAGACAATGCCTGGAACCCTGGGGTCCCAGCCTTGGCGGGCAGCAGACTGCTCTACCACCAGAAAGGATGGCGTAGCTCCTCCCTTCCTCCCAAGAAGCACGAGGACAGCAGACCAGAGCCTGGCCTCTCCTTGACCGCCTCTCCTGGCAAACCAGGAGGAGGAGCCCATGTTTGTAGGGCGAGTTACTGCTTTCCAGGGCCTGCCACCATGACATCACGGAGTAGACAGCCATATTTCACTTTATGAATGATGCTGACTTTGGGGATTACAGTCCTGATTTGAAAATAACCGAATATGAGCAATGATATGTTAGACAGCAAAAAGTAAACTGCAAACTTCTACGCTCATTCTCAGTTGGAGATTAGGCTCCAAGTCCTATAAATGGGCAAAAATATGAAATACGTATTACGTGAGACACCCAGCATATACAGACTACATCAGGCCCAGCCACTGAGGCTCTGCAGTGACACAGGCGTCCTGCCAGGCTGGAACCCACATGGCTGTGGTTTCAGATCCCCAGGTTGGCTTGGAAACATGCCAGGTGCACACATGTGCAAGACACGCAGGATCCTGAGAAGTTGCAGGGCTGGGACGGGAGGGTCACGGTCTGTTTTCTCTCCTGCTCCTGCACCCCCCCACCCTGCCCACATGCACATGCTCACTGTCAGGAAAAAAAAGAAAAAAACACTCCACTGGGCACATAAAAGTCCTTATCTTCTTTACCATACGTCTGACCTAGGGTGAATATACTGATTAGAGAACTATTAGAGGGATAATTAGGATCGCTGACCACGGCCATGACCGTGGCCTTGCGGATGATTTCTCACTCTCCCTCTTCATCTGTCTCTCTGCTGAGCACCCACTCCCTATAGCATAAACCTAAGGGGAAAAGCGAAAAGCCCGAAGAGCCAAGTTTACTTCCTGGACTTCATTCCCCATAGCAAGCTTAAAAAAATCCAAGGGGCATAATATAAGCTATCCTTTGTTGAAGATGAACATGGACACGCGAGCCTTGATTTGATTATCACACACTGCACCCATGCTTTGGAGAACCACATTGTATCTCACAAGATACAAAACGATCAAATGCAAATACGAAGTTATAAAATAAACTTGAAATGGAAGCTTAAGCAAATAGAAAATGAAAACTTGGGATCTTGATCAATATATACTTACAGTAAATAAAGAGTTTAAGCCCCAAACAACATCCTGAAATAAGGAAAACAGAAAACAAGTTTCAGACTCCTGTGAACTCTCACACCCCGGCCCACCTGTCTTCGGCATGTACTGCTTTCCTCCAGACAGGAAATGTAAACAACCTCTTTTCAAGTACAATGACGAACTCTGGGAATGTCCAAGAGACAAGCAGTTACAGGCAGAGAAAATAAAAATCAGAGAACACCAACTGCCCTCCAGTTAGGCCTGGGCCCAGGGAGCTCGACCCTGTGCCTCAGCAGAGCCCACAGGCTGGCACCTGTGCAGGAGCACTCTGTAAGTCACCTCCCACCTGTCATCAGCGGATACAGTACAGACCACTAAGGTGGCACCTATAAAATAAAATCTGTTATCTTTACTATCTACTTCCTCAAATTCCCACCATCTCACTGAATCATATTTTCACTTCAGTATTTTCAAGAATCAAGAGAAACTAGTATTTTCAAGGATCAGAGGTTTTTGTTTAAAATAAAATCAAAAGCCAGCGTTGTCCTATCTGTGATGATTTGTGGCTTGTGTCCCAGCCACGAATTCTCTCCCACTTCCCCCCCCGCCTCGTCAGTGTCAGCTCCTGAGGCTCGTGCTGTTCAGGCCTGTCCTCCCGCTCACTACCACCTTCGCCCTTCTCTGCTCCCACCCCTGACCTCCCAGTGTGAGTGCAAGGCCTGCAGCTGGGGAGGACAGATGGGTTGCTCAGGGGCCAGCACCATCATTGTGAGAAGGGGTCCTCCAGAGCACCCCTACCCCGGGAGGAGAGGCCTGTGAGGGAGCCTGCAGCAGTGGGACGGCCAAGTGGGGCCTGCAGCAGTGGGACGGCCCGGCAGAAGGCTGGAGGAGGGGCGCTCCCTCTAGTCGAGGGACTGAGGTCTGAGGGCGAGACACTTCTGGGTGTGGCAAGTGACCGGCAAGAAGGTCTGGTCAGGCTGTCACATGGCAGAGGCTGGATCTTGACTGCGCCAAGGCGGCGTGCTCCCTGGTGCTGGATGAGGGCCCAAGTGCCCTTCCTGAGCTGGCTCCAGGTTCCTACCTGAGATTGGACTCCTGACACCTGACAGTACTTCCTGGCTGGAGGGAACCAAAGGTCTCTGCACCACAGTGGACACCTAGCAGCCATCCCTGAACTGGACTCTTGGTGACCGTGCACTTTCCTACAGCGGATGACAGCTGGGCTCTGAGCTCCTGTCTCTGGTCTGGAGTGGACCCTGACACTGGCCGATGGGGACATTCACATAACAGACTGACCGGGGTCAGTGACTGCCTGAGCAGCCCCAGCAGTGGCAGTGAGGAGAGGGCACAGGGTTTGCTGGCCAAGTTTGGACGAGACACACGCTATCTTCCCGGGGCTGGCTACACAGGCAAAAGACTGCAAGGATGCTCCTACCTTTAATGTCCTCGTGGGGGCCCAGCCAGTGCCGTCGATCGAATGCTCTCTCAGTAAGCTGCAAAGGAGATGCACGGCATTAGCGGGGTGTGGCCTCCAGCTTCAAGCCACAGGAACACTGCAAACTGCACAGGCCTCATTTTGTCATTACTTGTGTCACACGGAGAGCTGCGTTTAGCGCCACCTGCCTGCTCCTCTGTGGACCCCAGTCCCCTCTTTTGCTGGGGAAGTACTTCTTCTCCTCCAAGGTTATAGGCACATCCAATTTTAATATCTTCTGCTAGTTTATCTATTTATTGTACATGGAGCTCTTTAATCCCTGATGTGGAAGTTTTAAGTAGGGGGATGCACGCTTAGGCAACACACGAAGAATGCCTGTCAATCTAGTGTTCAGAAAAGGATGTCCGAGGCCAAGAGCTTCTCCTGTGTCACGCATGACCCTAAATGCTGCCCTGCGGAGCTCACTCCGTGCCACACCCGCCCACAGAGGAAGGACTCCGTCTCCTTGTCTCACAGAGAAGACACACCAAGGGCCCATGTCTGGTGCACAGTGTGCCCTTCAACCCTGGGCAGCTGCCCAGAGCCTGTGTTCTGAACTGCTGCTGAGGCAGGTGGGTAACCTGAGCTCCTAGCACGCGTTTTACTAGCTCTGTTCAGAAGAGGGCTCCAAAGGGAAAACGTAGGACAAAATCCTGATAGTAGCCTCCCCTTGGGCAGGAGGATTGCGTGCAACAAAGGGGTGCCCAGAAGTCAGAGGACGGGGAGGTTCATTTCTTAGGCTGGCATGTGAGACTCATCTTCATTACCGCTCCAGCAACGTGTATAAATGCACATTATACACACGCATAGACATGCTCAGTACATACTTTGAAACTAAAATCATCTATGTTTTCTTTTAGAAATAAAATCGCTTCTGCATTAGTTGAATCATCATATTGTGCTGGGGCTTTGTTGTATACGTAAGAGTCTAGGCTGACATGTTAGTAACAGGCTTTACAGAGTACTTGAGTTAGAGTACTTTCAAGTCTCCACAAGTCAATTTGGATGAGGAGAAAATACAAACACATAAAATCTGAATCAATGCAATAATCCTTAACTGTCATAGCATGTGTTCTCACCAAAGAGAGGAGGAGGGAAAACGCACCCCCTGATGAGGAACGACCTCACTGCAATCCCTTCTCCTCCACTTCTCCATCCTGCTGGGGGTTTTGAGCACACACCTGTGCCCACCACATTTTTCAAGCTGCCAGGGTCAGGATTCAAACTGTGTTGGTCATGTGGAATCTGGATCCCTTAACCATTAGGCTATGGGGCCGGCCCAATGCTATACTCTAAATACTCTATGAAGATGTGAAGAAAAACATAACCAACCTTAGGTAGACCACTGAAGTTTACTTTGTGGGGGACCAGCAGGTGGCATACTGGTTAAGGTACTAGATTCCCTTGAGGTTGACGGCAGTCTGAGTCCCGGACCCAGAGACCTGAAACTCTCGCCGGCTGCATGTGTGTGTGTGCATGCCCAAAATCCCAAAAGGAGAATGGAGGAGAAAGGACTGAGGCATGGCTATCGCCCCGGGAGGTGATTTCTCACTTTCTATCTTTCTGTCTCTCAGTGAATGCACGCATTCTATAGCAAAACTCTCTCTCAAAAAAAAGTTTACTTTGCGCGGCCAGCAGGTGGCATAGTGGTTAAGGTGCTGGACTCGCACCTAGCTGACTGGTTTGAGTCCTGGACCTGGCAGCTTGAAACTCATGCTGGGCATATATACATGCATGCCCAAAACCCTAAGAGGAGAAGGGACCACGGCATGGCCGTCCCCAGGGAATGTGTGTGATTTCTTGCTTTCTGTCTTTTTCTGTCTCTCTGGTAAACCACATTGCTGAGAGCAAAAATCTTGCCAAAAAAAAAAAAAAAAGTTTACTTTGAGTATTAAAGAAAAAACTCAAATCATTATCCTAACACAGCTGGTAGACATTTTTCTACCAAGCAGAGGTATCAAGTACTTATGGCTCTGAAACTTCCACGACTTATGGATAATGTTTTGGAAACTGCCTGTCAAACCCTACTGGCTTTTATGATCCAATGAGAAATGTATTCTCACTCCTCTCCAACATGCCAGGCTCAGTACCCTCCCGCACTTCTCTATCAACAGCATGGCCACAGGCGGGCTCTGTACCTGGGCAGGAAACTGGGGAACAAGTGCCACCTCAGGCGGTGCCTGGCATCTGGTGGCCATGGGTCTGGGAAGCTCCTGGGTGGCAGTGAGGCCCATCGGGGTGTGAGGTCCCCAGACTCAGAGGAAGTTCTAGCCTGGCCTCAGCCAAGTGCGGTCAGTAGGAGTCCTGGTGACAAAGACAGTCAGGTGGCAGAGGGATTTCCAGGCCAGTGGCCAAGACACCCAGGGACCGTGCTGGAAGCCTGGAGCCCAGAAGTAAAGGACAGAAGTGCCAATACCGAGATCCCTGAACTCCACAATCCCACAAAGAACCTCTGGCCCTGTACCAGGAACAGAGTGATGTCCCTGGGAGTGAGGTGCAGAAGGATAACAGGGCAGTGGGCCAGGGCAAGACTCCCTAAAAGGGGGCAGTATCCTTGTGCACTAAGAGGCCGTGTAAGCCCCGGGAGCCCCAGGCACCGGCCAGGCCTGCCATGGGAAGAACTGCAGAGTCTGCCCAGCAGTCGGCACAGACTGGGGCACAGCTGCGCTCAGCTTCCCTTCACTCAGGAGCCAGCTGAAGGAGCCAGCTGTGCACTGAGCCACACTGCCTGCCTTTCCACATGCTGCACACTGGGCCTTCTCGCTAACTCTGGCTGCCATTTCCCTGGATTAAGTCCCTAGGAGTGTAGCTGACAAGTTCAGGGGCGAAACATGATGAATGCAGGCAGGCTATGTGACTGGGACCAGCAAAGTGCACAAATATGTCACCCTCTATGAACGAGGGGCAGCCCGCACTCTGTCTGCTGGCAGTGCACCTGGCACCAAGTTCCCCCATTGGTATCTGGCAATATGGCAAGTGGCATGCTGCACCCGTGGTTCTCCTGTGCCTTTCTCTGGTTACCAGCAAGGCCGAACATCTCAGATGACTACTGCTCGTCTATAGTCCCCTTTTATGAATCACCTATTGGTAGCTGATGCTCATTTTTTAAGAGGAAATGTCCATCTTTTTTTTTTTTGGAGAGGTTTTTGCTATAGGGTGTGTGCGCTCACCAGAAAGACAGAGAGAAACAGAGACAGAAAGTGAGAAATCGCTCCCCAGGGAGGATGGCCATGCCGCAATCCCTTCTCCTCCATTCTCCTCTCGGGATCTTGGGCGTGCACATGTGTCTAGCGTAAGTTTAAGCCAATGAGTCCGGGACTTGAACCGTGGTCGACTACATGGGAGTTCAGCGACATAGCCATTATGCCAACTGTTGGTCTCCATCTTTTTCATGATTGCCAGAACTAGTCACACATAAAGAACATTAGTGATATTATCTTTTTTCTCTTTCAACACACACACACAATTAGAGACTTTGCTATATGGTGAGTACCCTAGCCAGAGACAGAGAGGGACAGAAAGTGAAAAGTCAAACCCCAGGGGAAGTTGGCCAAGCTTTAATCCCTTCTCCTCCATTCTCCTTTTGGGATTTTAGGCATGCATGCATACAACCTAGTGTGAGTTTCAAGCCACCAGATCTGGGACTTGAACCATAGTCGACCACATGGGAGTTCAGCATCTTAACCACTATGCCACCTGCTGGCCCCATATTTTTAATATTAATGTGGTCAAATCTAACATGATTTTCCTTTTAGGCTTCTGGTTTTTGCTTCAGGCACCATACTGCTAATTCCTGCCATGCTTTGCTAATTTCCCAGAGGGGGGCAGCTGGATGATGTGGTGGTTAAGGTGGCTGGATTCCACATGGCTGAGTGCATGGTTTGAGTCCTCGACCTGGCAGTTTGAAACATCCTATTCCCCTTCTCTCATTCTAGCGAGCACATACGCCCTATAGCAAAACTAAAAATAAAAATAAAAATAGAAAAAGGGACCAGAGGCGCCTGCTCTGGAGCCCGTCCTGATGGAGGCAGAGGAGCAATGGGGAGGAACATGGAGGAGTCTTAGCAAGCAGCCAGCGTTCCTGTGACTTAGGGAAATGCTGGGAGAGCCAGCCTCATTGATAACCGGCAACTGAAGGGGTTTGAGTTTTAACCTATTGATACTTTAGGGAGGGATATTCAAAAGGAAAGATGCCTTTAACAATATGTGCCTGGAGACCAGCACACAGTGTAACGGTTTTGTCACTGGACTCCCACATAGTCGACTGTGGTTCAAGTCCCAGGCCTGGCAGCTTGAAACTCAGGCCAAGCACATGTGTGTGCATGCCCATGATCCTAAGAGGAGAAGAGATTGCAGCATGGCAATCCCCCCTGGGGAGTTAATTTCTTGCTACGTCTCTCCTGGCAAGCATTCATGCCCTGTAGCAAAAATTCCCTCTTAAAAAAACGTAATAAGAACAAAACGAAAAACAAGAGGTGCATGTGTAAAAATGAGGCTTATAGGAAAGAAAGGGAGCAGCATTTACAAAAGCAAAACAGGCAAAGGGACACTAACTGTGCTTTGACAACCAAGAGTGAGGCTGAAGTTAGATTTCTGGCAGCCAGGACTGCCTGGCTCTGTGCCCCATCACAGGTGGCTGGTGTTCAGGAGAGGAGCGGAGGGAGCACTGGTCAAGTGTGAGTGCTGACGCAGAACACACAGGTCCTGGCAGGACAGGAAGCTGCTGAACACCACCAACTCTGGCCAGCTAGGGGGAGTGTGAAGCACACAGCAGTTAAGGAACTCTGCAAAGCCCCGTAGTGGGGTCCGTCTGGCCCTGGGGCCCCTGCAGTTCCCAGCAGTATCTTACTACAGAAAGGGACAAAATGCAGGAACACAGAGCCCAGCTGCTTCAGTTACTTAAACTGCTCACACACCTCCAGCAACCCTGGGGAAAATCACTGGGCCCTGACTACCACGGTTAGGTGAACACACAGACCATGAAATCCTAGGAAGCTGCCCTGCTCCAGAAGTGCTCCTACACATCTTGAGACATTCTGGAAGAAAGGGCAGGCTGAATGCGCTGTCCGAGGTCTCCTTCACCAAGTCAGCTTGGTTTCTACTGGGTCTCATCAGCCATATTTTTCCTTTAGCTAAAAACAGCCTCATGGAGGGTCTGTGGTCTCTCATGAAAATAGGGTTGGTGGTGTGGAGGACAGAGTCATGACCCCAGGGGGCACCACCTGAGCACCAGTGGGACTACGTCCCGAGAGGGCAACAGAGGATGCTGGTCTGCAGGCAGAGGCTCAGGGCCTGGGAGGTGGCAGGCAACTCCAGCTGCTCTAACCCAAACCTTCCCTGTTCTTGGTCAAGCTTCAAAATTTCCTCGGAGGAGGGTCCAAAAGATGGTATAATGGTTACATTACTGGACTCTCATGTAGTTGACCGCAGTTCAAGTCTTGGACCTGGCAGCTCAAAACTCTAGCCGAGAGCGTGTGTGTGCATGGCCATGATCCCAATAGGAGACTGGAGAAGGGAAGGTGGCGTGGCCACCCCCCCAGGTGGTGATTTCTCGCTTTCTGTCTCTCTCTGTCTCTCTGGTGAGTGCATGTGCCCTAGAGCAAAAAATTTCTCAAAAAAAAAAAAATAAATAAACAAACAAAAAAACCCAAAAACAACCCAAACAAAAAAACTCACTCAGAAGAGAATGACATACTGAAAAGTCCAACACTCACACTCAATGCTCAAGAATTCACAGAAGAGAGAAACTCACCTTAGACATATTTCACCTGTCTCTGTGATGTTGGGGTGCCAGATCCTGGTCAAGCATTTCACCTTGGGAGGCTGCCACAGAAACACAGAGAGAGAGAGTCACCATGACCAAGTCCCCTATAACCTGAGCCTCACCACGCCCCACTGGTTTGCTCATGGCAAGCTAGCTAACAGGCTGGCTGACTCACCAAGCACATACCCAGCCTTAAGCACTGGCTCACTTCACCAACGCAGCAGCTTATGTGCACCGCATCCACAAGGCCTCGTCTCCCAAGGAAGGTCGGCCACAGACCCAATGGCACTTCTCTACAAGCCCAAGCCATGCTGATCACTGCCGCCCCTCACCCTCCTGGACTTGAGCTGTAGAAGAGCCTGCAGGGGTTCCAGCTCCGCCAGGAGCCCACACATGCCTCTGCAGTAAGAGCTGCTGAGTGGCAGCTGAACATTACTGCTCCTTGCAAGAATGACCTGTGCCCTTTGCTGGATATTTCTGAAGATGCTATTGTCATGTGTGTTTCCCTAGATGAAAGTCTTAGTCCACTTGATGCTTAAAGAACAGAAAAAATGAAATAAGGAGTACGTGACATCATTTTTGACTTTGCATATTTAAAGTTCATTTAAGATGTCTCTATTATAGGGACTGGCAGGTGGTGGTTAACATGCTGGACTCTCACATGGCTGACCCTGGTTCAAGTCCTGGACCTGGCAGCTTGCTTTCTCGCTTTCCCTCTCCCTCTCTCCGGTCAAACTGAGGAATAAGAATAATTAATAAAATTAATTTTTTTATAGAAAGATTTCTCTATTCCATACCTCATGACTCCACCCAGAAATAATTTTTCTTTTTTTTGGAGAGGGGTTTTTTTTTGCTATAGGGCGTGTGCGCTTGCCAGACAGACAGAGACATAGAGACAGAAAGCGAGAAATCACCCCCCAGGGGGGATGGTCACACCGCAATCTCTTCTCCATTCTCCTCTCAGGATCTTGGGCATGCACGCACATGTGACCGGCGTTGAGTTTTAAGCCACCGGGTCTGGGACACGAACCGCGGTCGACTACGTGGGAGTCCAGCAACATAGCCATTATGCTAACTGATGGTTCCTGCCCCCCAGAAATAATTTCACACCTGATGTGCATTCTTTTGCAGTTTTCTTTTTAAACTTATTCATTCCTACCATGAGAGAAAGAGATGGACAGAGACAGGCACCTCCACCAGGGTCTTCACGTGATTCTCCCCTTCCCTCAGCCAGTCAAGAGCTTGGGCATGGGCATGTGTGCCCAGCATGCACAGGGAGCCCTCAGGACATGAACTGGAGACCTTTCTGTATGCCTTTGGCATTGTAGAGCATTGTGTGACTGCTGTGCACTGCAGCAGGCCCAATGCTGGGACAGGGTGTCCTTCAGAAAGGCCGTGATGTGCCACCCTTCTCACTGCAGCCAGGGAGATGACCTCTTCTCTGGGTCCTCGTCTCATAGCAAGGTCTCCTTGGTTGATATACAGTCTCATCAGAAATGTCATCTCATAAGAGGATCAACCATTGTCAAATGGAGCAAGCATTTTCCCTGCTTATCTGGCATTTGTTTTCATTTATGATACTTCCTGAAGGTGTGAACGTTTCTTTTCTTATCTTTGCTATACTTAGAAATACTTCATCTTACAAATACTTTTCTGTCTTTTTTCCAGTACTCATAATTTCATCTCTTTATTTTACAAAGCAAGCACATTTAGGACCAGCAGGTGGCGTGATGGTTAAGGCATGCTGGATTCCCACATGACTGACCACAGTTTGGGTCCTGGACTTGGTGGCTTGAAAATTATGCCAGGTGCACGTGTGTGCATGCCCAAAATCCTGCGAGGAGAATGGAGAAGAGGTTGCAGCATAGGCATCCTCTCTGGGGGATGATTTCTCACGTTCCCTCTGCATGCAAGTGCACACACACACCTTACAGCAAAAATCTAAGAAAAAACACACACACACACAAACATCACCATTTTGGAACCCTGATTTCAAAATACCACAAAATCAAGAGACTACCCAAAAATATAGACTGATGATGCAAATGCATGTGTCCAAAGACTAAAGAATTTAGGTTTAGAGTGAGTTCAACTAGATATACTCTGATTGGCTTTTCTGTAAATAAATGGGGATGCATCCGTTGGAAGGATGGGAGTGCATCCTCCATTCGCACAGCGCTGGGCTGGAGGAGGGCAGACCTTCTACACAGAGCAGGGCATGTACAGCCCTCAGGAAACTGACCACAGGACAGGCGAGCGGCTAGTCTGAGTCACCAACTCTTAGGTGTCTGGAGGAACCTGAAAGAGGGCAAGCCCTGTCTCCCCCTCAATGGTACCCGTCCTGTGGGGTCCCTGACACATGACCAATATCCTCGTGTCCATCACATCTCCCACATGTCGGGTGTCCCTCCACGTCTTCTGTAGTTAGATGCCAGCATGGGTACCTCTTAACTGCAGTTTCAGAACGGACAGCAAAACTCTACACCAAACTGTGGGCCCAGGTTCTGACACAAACACTGTGAACTGAGCTTGTCTTACAGCCCTATCCTGCCCCACAGCTAGACATACAACACATGCTGAGTCCTCCCCCTCCCACTTGACCAATGTTGGGCATTGCCCTTAACCCAATCACACAGCTCAGAATTTAGCAAATGACAAACACTTCACTTTAAATCAACAAGGGACACAGACAGACCACAGGCTACTGTTAACCATTTTGAAAATACAGTTCGAGCCACTTACAGCTGTATTCCAAGTTCACTAAGGTTAAACACAAAAAGAGAACTTTGAGAAGACCAGAACGAAAGGCAGATAGCCATCTTGGGCTCAGAAGGCTCAAGTCAAGCATTTCATAACATGAAAAGCCCATGAATAAAAAGATTTGACTATAGTAATCAAAAAAAAAAAACCTTTTATAGAATAAAAGACAAATGCGAACAAAGGGAATATTTATAGCATAGCTAAGAAAATTAAGTTCCATATGCTCTATATATCAGAATGCATAAACCCATAAAAATGCTAATACTCTAATGAAAAAATGGGCCAAGGACATAAAGTAGCTCATAAAAATACAAATAGCTAATAAACAGGAAATAGTATTTAGCATCCTGCTTACTTAAGAAATGAAAATTCAAATAACAACTATTTAATAGAAACTAATTATTTCCTCCTACAACGACAAAAAGAAAAAAAAAAACAGTGAAAAGACTACACCTTAGTGGGAGTTTAGGGGAAGGGAATTTTCAAACGCTGTTGGTGAGGACACCAAGTGGCATAATTTCTCCCAACAGAATCCATCAAGAGCCTTAAAACTGAGCTTGGAGTGGGCATGATGGTGTGTACCTGTAGGCTCAGCTACTCAGAAAGCCGGGGCAGGAAGATTGAGAGTCTGAGGTTAACCTGGGAAACTGTGCTCCTTAACACACAAAAAAGACACCCTGAGCATCAGTTACTCGCACCCATCATGCTACGTCTAAGAATGAGACCAAGG